AATTCATATATGAGATGAAATCGGATAGGGATGAAATCGTTTAGAGATGAACGTGTTTAAAAGTTTTTAAGAGTTTTTAAGAGTTTTAGCCAAATGTTTTATAATATAGTATAGATTCTATCTAAGAATTTAATGTTAAGGTATATGAGTAATTTTTTTTGTAACTCTTATATAATTTATTGGAAGTTACAAGATCCATAAAATCCCATAATTTTTACATTTTTAATATTGATCTTGTGATTTTTTCATTTTTTAATATGACATTTCATTTTTAGTATTTATAAATTTGTGATTGGTGGAGGAGATTCGCTAGTAAAGTGTTTGTTATCGTTCAAGTAATTATGGATAGAAAACAACACGACAACATTGAGAAAGTTAAAATTGTTTATGGTGACAATCGGAGTTCGAGATCGAAAAGTGAAGTAAATAATCAAAGCGAGTGTCTTGGTAATTATGAACACAAATTGATATGCATACACTCATATGAACAAAAATTGACATATATGAACACTTGTGGCAATTATGAACACAATTGAACATATACGATTTCTACTGTTTGTAACCGATTATATTGATTGCACCTCTTCTTTTACATAAATACCCTTGAGCTACTATGTTTCACATATGTTTGTGAGATTATAAGGGTAATAAATTAAATTTATAATATGATTAATCTCGACCCTATATTTCAAAAACCATTGGCCATGATTAGTTGATAAAGTTAACACAGTAATTTGGTTAACAAATGAACTCGCCCTTATATATATGTGTGTGTGTGTGTGTGTGTGGGCAAGTTCATTTGTTATATAAGGGAGAGATCAAAATGCAAATCAAATCATTTGTACAAATCGTGCAAAACTCATTCAACCAATCATATTTTTTTTTAATTATGACGCTTGATTAGTCATTTAATTGCGGAGAGCGTTAATTATGGACATTATCATCTTCATTACATTTATTTTTGAAAACAAATTTCATCAAAATTAAAAATACATGAAACAATTTCTTTTTTACATATAAATAAACATACATGAATAATTTAATCAAGAAAATAATGATATGAAATGATTTCATCAGATTAAACAATTTTATGAAACAACTTATTAGACTAAATGATAAGCATGGTTTATTACATACTTAAAGTACCCATTTCTTGTGTTTAATAGGTAGATTTTCTTAGTTTATCCCAACTTCGAGTTATTTCTACTTCCTTATTTTCTATTTGTTATGTTTGGAGCTAAATGTGGTGATGAATTTGTTTTTACAACAATTTGGGAGTAGATGACATCTTTTGACTTACAATACTGCACTATAATGCTGCATTATTCCAGCAGTATTGTCCGGATCCGGTTTGGCTTTTTGGAGAAGTGCTTATTGGTTAAGCCATTGTCAAGGAAGGAAGTCTTAGCTGAAGAAGCATTCGTTTTTGCTCTCAGCCAGCTGGTGAAAAGAGTGGGAGAAGACCTTTTGGGATGACATATTGTGATGGAGAGGATGTCACCTTTCTAGTCTTGTTATTTGTACTTTTCCCCTTTTTTTATGTTTTTGTCTTTAGTATATTTTGTTTGTATAAAAGAGTGCATTGGGTGCCTCTTTTGAAGACACACCTCCTGGACAGTTGTTCTCATAACATTTGTTTCAAAAAACTCTCAAGTTTATTAGTTTTATACGCAAACTTTTAAGTTTTAATTTTGTTCTTCATCTTTCGTTATTTATTTACTCTTATTGTCATTTACTTACCGTATTTACTTTCCGTCTTTACTTTCTGTCATTTATTTTTAGTCATTTACATTCATGTCTTTAATTTATGTCATTTACTTTCCGTAATGAGTAGCTAATTCCATTAGCTCGGGTGTAGGGTAAAAGGTGAAATGTTAAACCGAATGAAAGTGGACATTGTTTCACAATAACAATGTTCCACTATTTCATTCAAGTTTTATAAAATCAAGCATACTTCTTGATGAGTTGATCACTTTGAAAGTGTTAAAGTGCCATGGACTTAGAGATAAGCCATGATAAGCACGTCAACTTGAATGATATGAGAGGTAGACTTGAGAAAGTTGCCGACAAGGAGACTTGTCATTTATGTTTTTCAAACTTAACTCCCGACGGGTTGGTCACTCTCTAAAAGTGTCAAAGTGTGATATATTCAGAGATGAGCTATCTTGAACACGCCAACTTGAATGATATGGGAATCGGCTCGAAAGAGTGATTTTTAACAAAGAGATTTGTTTAGCCATATATCTTGAAGACACCAATTTGTCACTATCCTTGGTCCGAACACCATATAGAGATATGGATGCAAAGCTATAATATAGTGCAAAGGTAAAGTCCGAGAGGAATACCTTCAAGATAGATGGTGGAACTAGTTCTTCTACAGCTTTGTCTGCTGGATTTTGTGTTTACGTTTCACCCCAAATCTTACACCCATGCTACCTTTATTATTATGTCTTATTATTCTGTTATATTATATTTGTTAACTCAGAATCAGACTGAAGTCTTCAATTTCGTCATCTGAAATCTTTTCTTTCACTGGACTCTTATTTAACTTTTGCTCCAATCCATGTGGACGATATTCCGGTACTTGTACCACTTTATTACTTGGAAAGACAATATTAAGCCATATTGTATACTTGCTTTGTGGTCCAATTCTTTTGTCTAAAGGTATAGAATTTAACTGACCACTAAACAATGAAATTGACGGTTAAAGATGGTTTGTACGGTTTGTGCAAATGGACCGATTTGCATTTGATCCCTCTCATATATGTGTGTGTGTGTGTGTGTGTGGAGAAAGAGAGGGAGGACAAATCAAACACAAACCACCTAAATGTTACAGAGCGTATGAACCAATCGCCCCTTGATTTTGTATATTTTGAAATTTTTAGACGATTATCAAATCAGTTGCAAATAAGGTTGAGAGTGAATTTAGAAACCGATTTAATTCACATCGTTTACATTGATTTGATAATCTGCACGAACAATTAAGATTGGTAATTTGTATGGTGTGTAACATAATTGAAACAATGATTTTTACTTAAACTTCGTCATGTCGTTTCGTGGATGAACATTGATTGTTCAAAAAAAAATTACCCACGTTAATAGGTGAAAACATAAAGTGAACGAGATAATTAAAAAAAACTGAACAAAGTAAATGATATAATTAAGGAATGTGATAATTAAATAAATGAGATAAGTAAAAAATATGATATCGATATATGAAAAAAAGACAAAAATACCACAGTTAGCAAAGCGTGTATCAATCAAACGGTTAACAAAAGAAGGTGTCATGATGAATATAAATAAATGTAGAACTTTTATTTTATTTAAGGAAAATTCTAAAAACCCTAACAAACTTTCTCATTTTGAATGAGTTAGTCTCTAAACTACTTTTTTAAATAAAAAACCATTAAAATTTCGCATTTTGAATGATTAAGACCCTCAATTTTTAACATAAATAAATAAATCATCGAACTTTTACTAGTCGGTTAATGTAACTTTTTTAGGTTAAAAAGATATAGGTAACCAACTTTTAAAAGTGCAATAGTTTATTTATTAAAAAAATGCAAAAAAAGAAGAACAAAACATAGTTGGACGAAAATACCCACGGCTCTAATGAACATAATAGACGGAGTTAGTGACCAGGTCCTATTTTAAAAACAAAATCCAAACTTAAAAGACTAGTTTTTGACTTATTAAAGTTTATGTCTTACTTTCAAAAAAATTACGAAAGAATAGGGACTAAAAATGAAATTTACTCTTATATTTATTTTGATTTTAGACCGATGAATAGAAAGTGTAAACTACATGAACCAAATTTGCAATTTACTCCGTAGTTAACAATCACGATATTTTAATTTTGAAGTATATAAAAAAAAATCTTTTCACACTTGTCTCATCCACCGACACAAGAAAATTGGTGATTTGACTATAATTATTGTCTTAACTTTAACTTTTAAATTTTATTTTATTAGATATTAATTATTAAAAAAAAACAAAAAACAATGTGATTTGATTTTAAAAAGCAAAATCAGCCCTACCTACAATCCTACATATACAGAAAATTGACTCAAATAGTTACCGAAAATTACTATAAAGTTTTGACTTTAGTGAATATTTTCAAAATTTGATGAGCAAAAGTGATATTAATTTTTTATTTATTTAATTATATCAATGAAATTGAATCATTTTATTTTATATAAGTTCATTTTAAAAAATGCATCAAGATTATA